ACAAACAAAAAGACAGTCCCTGCCCTCAAGGAGCTTACAATCAATGAAGAAAAACTATACACACATGTATGTATACACATGTGCGTGCATGTGCACACACACACACACACACACAAAGCTGACACACATAGCTATTTATTCTGCCTAATCTTAAAGAGCTCCAGAGCACACCTCTTTCCTCCCAGGCCCCGGCCCCAAGAACATGAAAGGCAGAAACAAGGGTTCAATAAATACCTAAATACTCACATCACCACAACTGGACTCAACCGTATGGGGAATGACTACAAACAACTGTGGATTATGAATGTTATCGTGCCGCTAGAAGTGACAACCACGAAGGATTCAGAGGCATGAGAAGAATTGGAGGAACTGATCATACAGGGCAAAATAAAGAAATCAATAGATACAAAGACTACAACAATGTAAAAGAAGAGAGTACTTAAAGAAAGCTAAACCGTGAGTAATAACCAAACAGTCCCACAGAAGAAATGATGAAATATACTTACCTTGCTTCCACAAAGAGGCAGGGGTGGGGGTGGGAGTGGGGTGGGGACTACGAGGGCAGAATGTTTCATACACTGTCCAGTGGCTGACAGTGGTTTTTGTTTAATTGTTTTCCTTTGTTACAAGGGTGGTTTTATCGAAGGGGGAGGGGAGTGGCAGAATATGTCTGGGTATGATTATAATGGTTTTTAAAGTCATCAGTAAAATTATTTACTGCTAAAGAACCCTGGGAAAAATAATTCCATCCCCTCTTCAGGCAATTCTGCCATACACTCATGTTTTATTATGATAACCCATATCCTTAGCAAGTTCTTGGGTCTACCTAGAATGTTCCTGTCTGCAATTTGCTTGATTCTTAGCAGAGATGAAGCTTAAAAGAACCTTGCAAGAGAGATCTTGTCTCTATTAAGTGGAAAGGGGCTGATATCCCAAAAGTATAGAACTGATTTGCCACCTCTTGGGTAGATAAACTCTAGCAGTTCCTTATTACCCTTAGAATTAGATACAGACTCCTGTGTTTGGCATTTACGGCCCTCCACAATCTGGCTCCCCTCCGCCCTTCCAGGTACTAGGTACCCCCCTCCACACGCTGGACATTCTCACCAGTCTGCCTTGTTTGCTGTTTCTCATATCTTGATGTTCCAATCTCCCATCTCCAAGCCTTTGCCCAGACTGTTCTCCAGGTCTGGAATGCCCTCTTTGGCTCCACCTATTAGAATCCTCAGCATCCTTCAAGGTCTGGTTTATGATTCCCTATCTCATCTCCTCAGTTGCTCATTCCCTCTCCCCTATAAATTACTTTGTATTATGTTTAATTGTTTTGTAGTTTGAATCTGCTTATCTGTATGCGTGTTGCCATTGTCCTCTCCTCCTCCCCCACACCCAGAGAGAACGTAAGTTCCTTGATGGCAGGAATTGTCTTGTTTTTTACTTTGTATCCCTAGCATCTGGCAGAGCTCCTGGCACCTAGTAAATGCTTGATAAATGTTTGTGGAATGAATGAACCCCACAAAGTCCTCAAGGTAAAAGCAACCAGGCCCATTTCTCTAGCCCCTTCTCAAAGCAACCCCAGAATAGAGGTCTTGAAAGTAGTATTATCCCCATTTTGCAGATGAGAAAACAGAGGCTCAGAAGACAACTAGTAAGCAGCAGAGTTAAGATTCATATTCTGGTCTTCTGATGTAGAGACCAGTAGATCACTAAGTCATGACATCAAATAACTTACATTTGGCAAATACGTATCATTTAAACCTGGTCCAAATGAAGTCACAATTCCTTTCAAATGTTCCATTGGACTGGGAGCTCTTTGAAGGTAGGGACTGTGTTTTTGCCCTCCTTTGTATCCCTAGCACTCTGCACAGTGCCGGGTAGGTATATAGCAGGTGCGTAATAAATGCTTTTTCATTCATTAATTCATTTATGAGGGAATTGGATTAGCTGTCTTCTAAGGTTCCTCTCAGCTCCAAGTCTATGAGTCTATTATTCTTTATTTTGAATACCAAAAATTCAGCTCTGTGGGCAAGAGGTTCTGCAATTCAAAATCAAACACATACTTGAAAGAGCATTAATGTCAGGAGACAGATTCAGATCTCAGGTCCAACCAGCTGTGTCCCCCAAGGCTCTGACTTAGGTGCATTCTTCTCTCATGACTTTCTAAATTAAATTGTATTTTTTTTCCAATTAACAATCATTTCTTTTCATTTTCCCACACTGGAAAAAGAAAAACAAGACCCGTAACAAGCATGTACCATCGAGTAAAACAAATTCCCACACTGGCCATTGTAAACATTTGTTGTATTCTTTATCTTGAACCCATCACATCTGTGCCAGGAGGTGGGCAGCATCCTTCATCATCAGGTCTCTTGAACTGCTGTTGGTCATTGTATTGAGCGGAGACTATCTTGAGCCTTTCAAAATTGTTTATTCCTACAGTGTTGTCGCCATAGTATCGGAGAATGGCTGAACAAATTATGTATGGCATAGAAAGGGAATGGAACTCCCTGATCCAGTGACCACATCTGACAAAGCTCCTACACCATTCTGACCCAGTGGCCCCTTCCCCTCCGTTGGGAGGAGGAGGAGGTTCCATGAGCTGCTCCCTGGCGCCATTATGGGCTCCCGCCTTTGGCTACTTGGGACTCAGTTTCTTTCTAGGGATCTTTTCCCTTACATCATCATAGGCATTATGTATGTTGTTCTCTGGTGCTGTTTCCATCTGCCTCAGTTTATATACATCTTCCCCTATTTCTCTGAATTTCTCATGTCTGTTTCTTACCGTACAATAATATTACATGATATCCACACACTGGGTTTTCCCCCCCAGCTTAATTGACAGGTACCCATTTTGTTTCTAATTCTTTGCTACCACAAAGTGGGGCTAGGATTGTTTTGCTGGGTATTCGATCTTTGTGCCTGCCATTGCCTTCCTCAGGGCCGAGGGCCAAGGCCCAGGCCCAGGAGTGAGCTCCTTGGACCCAAGGGTCCCTTTCCTTTCCTAATTCCACATTGTTATCCAGAAGAGTTGGAATCACAGCTAATGGAAGGGCCTGAAGTGAAGCTCCTCTCCTTCCTTTGATCTTTGGGCTGGTCACAACTTCCCTGGACCTCAGTTTTCTCTTGTTAAGAAAAGGGAACAGGACTACATGGCCCATTCGCAATTTCATCTGAGTCTTACACTCAGTGAATTAGGCCCGGAGAAGTTCATCGGCCTTGTACATCAATTTCACGATGGCGCACTTGCCTGGGTTCTGGACAGTGGAATGTTCTCGTGCTTTTCCAGTCATGAATGGAGTGAAATAGGCTACATGCTTGCTCCCACACTTTTTGGTATATTTTCAGCCATGTTGTCAAATGCCTTCGATGAGGATGAACACAGCATCAAAACCAGCTACTGCACTTAGGGTAATTCTTCAATTTGAAAAGGCTACAAGCCAAGACCAAAGTGGAGAGTGTTGGCACATGACTTTCTGTTCACAGATAACTGTGCACTCAACGAAGCCTCTGAAGCTGAAATGCCACAAAGTATGGCTCGATTTTCTGCTGCTTGTGCTAATTTTGGCCTGACAATTAACAAGAAAACACAGGTGCTCCACCAGCCAGCACCACACCATCCATACGTGGAATCATGGGTTACAGCAAACGGAGAATTTCTGAATGCTGGGGAAAAGTTCACATATCTGGAAAGCAGCATACTTTCCAGGGATGTACACATTGATAATGAGGTTGATGCACTCATTGCCAGAGCTAGCTAGTGTTGGGGAGGCTCCAAAGGAAAGTGCAGGAGAGAAGAGGTATTAGACTGACTACCAAACTGAACGTCTACTGTGCTGTGCTGACCTCATTGCTGTATGCCAGGAAACTGAATCGCCTGCATTTGAACTGCCTTAGGAATATTCTGAAGATCATCTGGCAGGATAAGATACCAGACACTGAGCTCCTTTCTCGAACTAAACTGTCAAGCATTCATACTCTACTGCAGACAGTGCAACTCCGACGGGCTGGGTCATGTTGTTCGAACGCAAAACCTACGCTTGCTGAAAAGACTATTTCATGGAGAACTCGCACAAGGCAACTCAGTAAATGTTTAATTGATAAGTTGAGTGAATCAAACATAAAAATGGGTGACAAGATGGATGGGCCGCTGAGGTGGGTGAAGAAATAAAAATCATCTCCTCCTCTGGACTCCATGGTACTTCCTACTTTCTTTTGACAATGAAATGATTCGCACTTATTTCATGTCACCTGATGAAGATGCCATCACATACACACCTGGGGCACTCCTGTGCCACTGTACTGAAATGCTATTTGCGTCGTGTTTGGGTCATTTCCATGGGCATGTAGCTTGTCTCCCTAGCTAGACTGGAAGCCTTCTGAGGGAAGGGACCACATCTTCTGTATTACAGCAGACCTGTCACAGGGCCTTAGAGATAACTTAGGGAATTCTTGAGGCAAGAGATAAGAGGAGAAACCCCTAGATATGGTCCTGGCCCTCCAGGAACCCTTGGCAATCCTGAATCCTATTCATTTAAAAACAGGATTGGGAGAAAGAGTCCAGAGATTTTGCCCGACTGTCTGCCCAAGGTTCCCACAACACAAACAAGGTGAAGAACCCCTGGGTTAGGGGTACAGATACCCTTCGGTCCAGTTCCCCAGATAGACACTGGGTTCTGGGCAAGCCTTTTCTTGAAGTTTACTTCTACTGAAAGTACACACGCCTCAGAAGCGGGGTCACCACCAGTGCCACCAGTCATGGGCCCGTATCCTGGGCAGGGAAGGGGGGGATGGTCCTTCAGGAGAATGTCCCTAGGGGATGCACCTGTAGCCTCCCACTGGCTCATCAGTATACACCAAACACATCAAGAAGTCTCATTTAGGAAAATGTTTTATTCAAAAGCTTCACAGCACCATCTAGTTGTCTTAAAGAATGCAGCCCCAGCCCACCACCCCTCGGCCTCGCCCCTGCCCTGCCCCCCTCCAGATGCAGAAGTTTAAAATGACACCATTTGGCTAGAGAGTCCCCTAGTTTTTTTTTTAATTCAGGTCATGATATGATTTTGGTTACTGTCTCACCTCAACCTCCCGAGCCCCAAATTGCATGGGATTTTAGCAGGTGAGAGCGTGTCCTCTCCCGTCCCCTCACCCTTGTAACTCCAAGCCACGGGAAGCAAGAACTCAGCGCCCTCCTGTCCCCATCCCCATCCCATGCTGGTAGAGGCAGATAAAGCTACAATGGAAAAGGTGAAAGTCAGCAACCAGAGTGGCAGAGTGTCCGTCACTGGTCAAGCAGCATGCAGCTCTGTGGGCTTAAATCTTATGGTGACATTTTCCTTCTGAAACCTGAGAACCACGGGCCATGGGGAAAAGCAGCCCAACCTTCTCCACCCCCTACGTCCTAAAGGTCTTTCTCTGCTCTACGGAGCTCAATTCTTTCAGTTTGATTAAAATACTAAGAGATTTCCCCCCTCCCCCCTCCCTCTGAATCAGGCAGAGCCCGAGTGACTGGGGTTGAGGAAACAGTATGACCTGGTCTTTTCGTTTTTAAAGAGTAGCCTGTCTGAAATGAGAGTGTTTGGATGCCACAGTACAGCCTAAAACACAGTTCCCCAAAAGGCTCCAGGAGCGAGGGGCTCAGCAGCCCAGGAGTCTGACTAGGCCTGGCAACATCCCCGTCACTTCCTCCACTTTGGCTTCAGTCCCCAGGACTTCCGGTCACGCTCGAGGAAGTGAGAACTGGACATCGTGGGAGTCATTTGGCCAAAGCCCCCATGGGGTCCCAGGCCGGAAGCACGATGGGCTCCTGCTTCAGCACGGCGAGCACATCCTCCGGCACGTGCTTCTTGTCCACGACCACCTCGTACACGTACTCGGAGAACCACTGGTCTGTCATGCACAGGTAGCCTGCGGGGGAGAGTGAAGACACAAGTGAGCCTGAGCTGGGGGCCAGGGCCTGAAAGGGCGCGTGTGGGTGAGAGGCAGGGGCGGGCGTGGCAGAGCCCCAGGATGGAGGACGGGGGTGTATGCCCTGTGGGGCAGGAGCAGCCCCAGCCCCAGCCCCAGCCCGGGCTCTTTCGCCGTCACCAAACACTGCTTCTGGTGGGGCTCTGCCGGGACAGAACAAGATCCCAGAGACCCCAGCTTTCCCTTGTAAGACTCTGTGGGGAAACAGGATGAAGAAAGAGCTTCTGCTCAACCTCCCTGACTCCACAGGCCTGACAATGTGACAGCAAGTGTGGCCAAATGCCCCAGGGCTTTCTGGCTCTGACCTGCTCAGCCCAGCTTCCCACCAGGAAGACTATGCAGCCCCGGAGAGGAGCCTGTCCTAAATGAGGAAGGGAAGCACCAGAATGCAGTCACTTCAAAGGGACGAGGAAGACCCCACTCTTACAGGCCACCTGTCAGTGCTGCAGGGGCCCAAGGGGGAAAAGCAGGCAGCGACAGCATCGTGGACGGCATCGTGGACGGCACTGTGGCCGGGGTAGGCTCAGCATCCACGCTGGCCGGGGGCTGTGGGCGGGCTCTGGCTGAGGGCCCCACAAGGAGCTGCGAGCTTTTGCGAGGTCAGCGGTGCCTATTCTACCGTTCCTTTCAGATGGATGGCAAGACACTCAGCTTGACACAGCACGACAAGTCTATCCTCAGAGGAAACAGCCTGAGCCAGTGCTCGGAGCTTTCCCCTCTCCCCTAGTGACCTCGCCTCCTTGCTCAAAGAGGCGGAGAAATTAGAGCATCCCCTGTCCTGGAAGGCAAGGCTGTCGCTGGCTCCGAAAGCTCCGGCCTGCTCAGGGTCAGGGTGCTGGGGCCCAGCCCAGTTCAGGACCAGGGATGGAGACTTTCAGAAAGCATGTCTCAGGAGTCTTGCATGGGCCCCACCCTCCAGATGCAGGCCTGCCTCTGAAGATGGGGACGCAACAATATACCAGTCGAGACATGAGTCATCCTTCTACAGGCCTGAATTCAGAGTGAATCAACGCTCAAGCCTGCTCCTGGCAGGAAGGGAGGGCTGGGGCAGGTGAGGGGCTGCAGCGGGTTTGTGTAATAAAGTCCTGTGTCCTTATAAAATATTATCATCACACAAGCAAATAAATCTTCCCCAAATGCCCAAGGAATATGGACACTAAGTATCTACCTACCCCATCTCCTTTCAAAAGCAAGCTATCAGATTATGGGCTTATAAATTAGAACTCCTATCAGCGGTGATCCGCCTCTTGGAGGGCCTGCTTGCCGAGTGTCTCTGCAGGATATGAGTTCTCTGGGGCTCAGTGAAGCCTCCCAGACAGGGTCGCCGCCAAGTAATTGTGCCTTGAGCGGATAATGAACCTGTGACTGCTCCAACTGTTGACATGCAGTGTCTTGGAGTTTGACTGAGCTGATTAGGATCACCACGTCTGAAACCTGAGGGCATGCCGTGCCTCGGCAGGCGGGGAGCAACACTGGGTCTGGTTGTTCTGACTCCAGAGCCGCCGCAGCCCATGGTCTGGTCCCCAGGGGAGCCCTCCGTGCCTGGAGGATGGGTCAGACTTCCTTCGGTTTAAGTTTCTAATATGGCCTGTTAACATAACATTTTGTCTCTGTAATCAAATTAAAAAATGTAGAGACACAGAAATCAGCAAATGGCCAGGCCTTTAAAGGAGACTGACAGAATGAATGGTCTTACATTTTGTAAGAAGTAGGGAAGGATCTATTAAGGAAGTTTCTGAACCAGAAAAGGCCCAGCTAGAACTGTTCACGCTAAAGGTTTGTTTGTTGATGTTGAGTCACGTCCGACTCTTCATGACCCTGTGGACCATGCCGCCCGTGGGGTTTTCCTGGCAAAGATCCTGGAGCCGTGTACCATTTCCTTCTCCGGTGGAGTAAGGCAAACTAGGTGAAGTGACTTGCTCAGGGTCACACAGCTAGTAAGAGTCCAAGGCCAGATCTGTACTCAGATCTTCCTGACTCCAGGCCCTGTGCCTGCTCTGTCCATTGAGTCACCTAGCTGCCCCCATGCTGAAGGAAGAGGCATATTAATGAGGCTACCTAAGAGCATACAGAATATCACACACATAAATATGAGTTGCCAGGCAGAGTTCTGACAGTAGAGAGCTGAGGATAAGCCTGGGAAACCTGAGGAAATGAAACCCAACAGAGTAAGTACAAAAACACAGCACTGAGCTGTTAGATCTTTGTGTCCCCCTTTTATTTTGCACTTTTGGCTCTTCTGGATATTTCTCAGTGATTTAACAGTATGGTTAATAAATCTCTGCCGAGTTGATAAGCACATAGATTTACAGGGCTAGCAGTAACAACTGAAGTCACTCAGTCCAACCCCCTCATTTTACAGATGAGAAAACTGAGGCCCAGAGACGATAACTGACTGATCCAAGGTCAAGATTTGAACCCAGGTACACTGATTCCAAATCTAGCTTTCTTTCCAATCCCACACTGCTTTGGGGGAGACATCCCTAAGGAGTTTCTACCTAGAAAATGTTTTATGCACTTTTTGAATGAAAACACACTCTCTCTGTCTTCATCTATGTGTGTGTGTGTGTGTATTGGGGGAGAAGGAGGAGCTGGAAAGCAGGAAGGAAGGATGATGAAGAGAACCAGAACACTGCAGTGTGCATGCCTTCTGGACCAAGATCTAAGGAGAGCCTTCCCCATCAATGTAAACACCCAGATCCGGCTGGTGGTGGGGACAATGGAACGCAGAGTCCGCCCCCGCTGAGGAAGACTACCCTGGGTCCCAGCCGGGCACCGGGCATGGGAGGGAGAACAATGCTGGAAGAGGGAGCTGCTTGTCTTGGCTGAGGATGGGTGAGGTTTTTTTTGTCTTCAAATCATAACACAGTTTGAGCAGCAAATGGGCTTATTCCCTTGGTCAAATACAAACCCAGCATCTAGGAGACAAACCCACGAGGGTCAGCTGCTGGATCGCTGGGGGAAGGGGGCCGGGAAGGCCAATCCCGCGAGAACGTGAACGCGCTGCAGCTTTGTTCTCATTACCCAGCACCGGTCCTAGAACCCACTCTCTCCTCCTTAGATTCCTGACATCTGCACAGTCCAGGAAGACCAGGCGTTCAGACGTTAACCAGAGGCTTATTTTCCCAACAAAACTCAATGGCCTCCCTCTGACCCCCAACCTCTCTCTGCTCTTGTATTGTTTCAGGAAAGGTCTGTTTGATATCAATCCTCAAAAGCCCTATGGATGGCAGTGCCGTGTTATTCCCTAATCTCACTCCCTTAACTTGACCCAAAAGTATAATTAACATACCAAGAATAACAAGGCTCTGCAGCTGTTTTATCATTCTTGGCCGGTCCCTTTTCCTCTCCATTAATTCACGTTCCTCCCTGCCCTCAAAGACTTCCTCAAAGTTCCCTTCATCCGTGACCTCCTTCCTGAGTTATGTTCTCCCAAGAGGAATTATTATTCAAACCTCCTCAGCAGAGCATAAGAATCCGCCCTCAGTCTCCCATTATATGCTAAGGAAGCTCGTCCCCCCAAAGCTTCCCTGTTTGTGTCTTCACACAGCCCCCTTACTCCAACCCTGTGGAGCTCGCACACAAAGGAAATGCCCAAGTGCCACCAATGTGACAGGACTGGAGAGTCTGGACTCTGCTTCCACCCCCTGCTAAGGAACCTATCAGCAACACCGTGCTAGGCACTGGGGTACAAAGGCAAGAAGCAAACTCACAGCCAACCTACATTCTAATGGTAGAGATAACAAGTATTTACTTCACAAAGTTAAGAAATACACATATTTTATCTACACGCCCCAACAAAGTCATCAAAGACAAGGCTCCAGCAGCTGAGGAGAGCAGCAAAGTCTTCATGAAGAAGATGATGGTGTCTGGAGGTCTAGGAGGTGGAGGGAGGCCTGAGACGGGTATGGACTGTGGCTGTGAGGAATGATGCACTGTGCAGGAGGGGATGTCAGCTAGGTGGGCCAGGCTGGGAAGGGTTCTAAAAGCTGAGCCCAGACGCTTGCACTTCATTCTCCGGGCAGTAAGAGGCCACCGGAGTTGGGTGGGTGGGGAGTCACGTGGTCAGATCTGTGGTGAAGGGAAATGACTTTGGCGACACAGAACGGCCTAGAAGTGGTGAGGGACAGGTACGGAGACCGAGAGGGAGGCTGCCGCGATAATCTAGACAAGAGGTAAGGAGGGCCTGCCCCCCCCCCCAGGGGTGGCCGTCGAAGCACAGATGGGCAGTGAGCACCCGCTTGGCTATGTGGGGCGAGGGGCAGAGAGAGGTCCAAGATAACGCCAAGACCATAATGCTGCGACACTGGAAGGATGCTACTGCCTTCCACAGAAACAGGGAATGTCTGGAAGAGGGGAGAGTTCAGGGGGAAGAACAATGAGTTCGGACTTAGACATGCTGAATCCAGCTTCTCTTTTTGCTAATCGTATGTCTGACAGCCCACACACACCCTCAATGTTCTTTACGTCACGTCACATCACAGCGCTCCCTCCTCAAGGGCGCTCCCCTGGGACCCTGGCGCCCAAGAGATCAAGTTTAAATGCCCGCTGGACGCTCCAAAGATATTTTCCCACCTGGGCCCATCCATAGCCCCAATATTTGAACAGAGAATTTTTAAAAAACTGGTCAGTGATGATGATGTTGCCTTGGCATCAGGGTTACCCAGCTCCAGAGAATCTCTGTACCCACGAGGTCCCTTACAGCCGGCTCAAGTCACAAAGCCCGACACCCAGACAAGAGGGGCCAGGAAGCTCCATCAATGTCACCTCAAAAACAGTCAGACAAGTGACAAGGAAGAGGTCCTCTCTGGCTTCTCTAGTATGTGAATGGCTGTGATCACCTCTCTAAATTGTAATCTTCCCTTCCAACAAACCTCCTACAGCCAGAAGAAGGCAGCCCCACCTAACCTAGAACACAGGTTTCCTCCTCCCCCTCCCAT